ACATACATATATAGTTTATCTGAGTTTATCTCTTTCTAAATAAAATATTAAATATAATATTATATGTATATATAATATTACCTTACCTTTTCACGTTCCAAATTTGTCAACTCGAGTAACGTACTCTGACTTACTCTTTCCCCCACTACTCCGGGTTCTTTAGAGTTACTCGGAGTGAATTTTGGAACGCACCCCTGATGGACGCGGCACTTTAGAAGGAATTAGATTCTAAGGGCTCCTGAATTATCTGCGTTGCCGCAAATGAAATTGGATTAATCCAACTTGCGGCAACGTGAAAGTGACTACTTGTACGAAATTCAAAAGAAAAAATTCAGTGATGGCTGGAGTGAATTCTGAAATTCCAAAGGTTCGCGTATATTTATGTTTCTGTACGATTTTAATACAAAGATATTAGGATAATAATGTTAAACTAATTAGAGTAATATGTATAATTATTTATAATTATCAAGATTGGAAGTTAAGTGTACATTTTGTTGGTTCTAAAAAGCAAAAACTATAATATGTCATCTATGTCAATTCTTGTAAACATTTATGATTTGGAACCAAAATTTTAAATGATACATCGCGTGATATTAGTATTTTTTTGTTGCAGAAGGTATACACATGTGGAATGTGCGAGACAATTCTTGAAGAAGATGACGTACATGTCCATGAATGTTTAGAAAATTATCTATCGTTTTTTTTTGTGATGAAAATACCCTTTATTTATATCCTCAATGTGGTCAGTAAAATTATTTAAAACTTACCTTTTTTAAAAAAAGTAGGAAAGTGCGTTAAAAATATTTGTACCAAATTATGTAATAAAACCTTAGTGGTACTATCTTTATCTTTATTATGTTAATGATATGCATTATTTTGTACCACATGAGAAAGTAAAACCCAAATGGTACTATTTTTATCATTTATTTACTTAACTCTAATGATATCTATCATTCGTATAAAAGATGTGATATCAACAATTGGCGCCACTCAAACGGACGCCACGTCAACACAACGAATGCCGCGTTCACGCGGCAAGCGGCATCAGAAACAGAAGCCCCTAAAATCTAGTTCCTCCTTTTAAAGTGCCGCGCTGCCGCGCGCGGCATTTGCCGCGTCCATCAGTAGACACCTAAAGTCTTTCTTCTTTTTCATGGAGCATCAAATCGCTAGCAGCTGGATTCAAGGAGACAGAAGCCATTAATCTAAAAGGAGAAGAAGCTAACCGCTGGATTGATATTTTATATTTTTTAAATCGTTCTTCCTACAGATTTAATTCGTGTGTAAAACTAATAAAAGGTTAAGAATGCGTATCAAAGTAAATTTAAACTGCTCGAACAGTATGTTGTCAGACACATTGCGAAATGAATTGCCATCGATAGTACCTAAAGAGATTAGGAAACGACGAATACTGGTATTGTGTGCAATTATGCGAAAGTTGCAAGAAACACGTCTACTTTTCGCTGTAAGAACCGCCGTCGTTTTGTCGCTTGAAGTTCGGTCGAGCCGAGCGTTATCGTCAAAGTTTGATACATCTCAACAGAGATGATAACTGCAGAGAAAAAATTGTAATTTTTTGGCAATACATAGGATATTATAGATTTACAAGTATGCATATTTATTTATGAAGCATTTATGTAATAAAAAATCAATGAATTTGATAATGTATTAGCTAAATATTTATGTTAATAATAGCAAATTTATATCAATTATCGATAATGTTAGCGTTCTTCAATTATCTCCGGCCTCTTGAGACCCTTTTTAAACCCCCAAAAATTTGCCCAAGGTTAACGATCTTTAGTAGTATCTCGTCGGTGATATTGCTGTATAGTTTACATCCACTTGTCCAGGACAGTAATTGAGTAGTGGGGACGGTTATAAGAAATTTTGCAGTTATAAGAAAAAGCTCTCTATTTCTCAGATTTCTCTCTGGCTACGGTCCACTTGATGCTACAAATGGTTCGAAACATTTTTTGATTGGTCAAATAGTAAAATTCTTTTTTCCGATTGGTCAATCAAACGCTTCGAGGCATTTGTAGCGCCTAGAGACCCTCAAATAAAGGTTGGTTTATAATAGGTAATTATAAATGTAATCTGTTAACTTTTTCCGTAATCTGTAAGAATTGACCAATCACAGTCGAATGAGAGGAGAATACTCGACTATGATTGGTCAATTCTTACAGATTACAGAAAAAGTTAACAGATTACGGCCTATTATAAATCAATTCTAAAGGCCATGTCACACACCTTCCGTAATTCCAGATCAACAATAGAGTTTTAAGCCTTATGGCTCCTGCACATTGGACGCGGAAATGTTTATCGCGCGGCAAAATGCGACGCGGTAACCAATGAACATGTTAGGAGCTGTAACCTTATTGGCTA